TATATGATGAATGAATACGTTATGTGTTCTTCATCTTTCACAGTCAAGCAAAGTAAATGCCCAGAAATGGAAAGAAGGTTGCATGGACTAATTCATGGTTTAGCGTGTGGACCGATCGCCGAACGCTGAACGTTGATTGATGTAGAAATATTTTGTATTATTATTTGAGTTGGGAGACCCTAATATAAGTCATTAAGTGCTAGCACCACTAGATTTTCACCAATACACTACCGGGTCTACCTACAACAATACTATTTTTATAATTTTAATTTTTCAGATCACATAAATTCTTTCAATAATACGTATTCTAATTTTATCCGAGTTAAAAAATTATTTTAAACATAGTACAATGAAAAATGTTAACTAGTGCTTTTAGGGCACTGGTTAAGAAATAAAAAAGTAATTTTTTTTATAGAAAAATGTATTTACATATTTACTGAGCAACTTTGTTGTAATTTTTAATGAAAACTTTTCAATTTTTTATTTCTTAACTAGTGCTATTATGCATTGGTTAACTAGGCCCCAATAAAATTAACTCTTAATAAAAAAAACAGAACATAAAATTAAAATCTAATTGATATATTTGTTAACTAATTAAGATCACACTCTTATCACCTTAACTAACTATCTCATTATATTCACTTGTATATAAACACACATCTTGATATATATACCCACTTAGTTTTAAAATTTGTATTCATACGATGCTTTTAATTAAAAAAAAAACAAATTAATTAAATAGGATTAAAGTGAGTTAGTTCAAGTTCTCTGTTTTTTGGGTAGACAACTCGAACTAAACCAACTTGATATTTATTGAGATTTTTCTGGTCAGGTGATCAAGTACCCAAACATGTGAAGTTAGATATGCAAAGCAGTATCCGACATTATTAATTTTGCACATATATTAGGCAAATAATAATGTTAAGTTATCGGGGATCCTTTGGTTTTCTACAATGCAAAAGCATAAGATGAAGTTACTTGATCACAAGATTAAGTGATGCTTGTGCACCATCGATATGCAGTTTTCTCATGACATTAGACAATTTATTGATGTCAATTGAATGTCATTCAACAATTTGAGGTACTTTCCAAAGAACTTGCGGGCATTGATGCTAGAAGACACACTTTTACAACGTGGGGGGATTGAAACATAAATCCTCATCGGAAATTAGTACTATTACAATGCAAATTATATTATGTACTAGGAAGGTGTGGTACGTGTTCAATTTTAGTCGATTTATTCCCATCGCCAAACCAACCTAATATCTAAACCGAAGAGAGTCAAGTTGGATAAACATGAATCAAAATCAAATCAATTGTTTGAGACAAATCATGAAAATTTATTTAGGTTGGGTCGTGATGTGCTGACTAGGCTCGCATTTTAAGTCGAGTTGATCAAGCTCTCATATCTAATTGAGTTGATCGGGTTCGTGGGTTAAGTCAAGTTGTAAGCTAACATGAATATTGTAACAATGTGATAGGTCACTATACTTTATAGTTCATTATCTAAGTAGTGATAATAAATAAATAAATTAACTACATTGGAGTTATCATGTTACAGTATCTAAACATCCAAACAACATTACTTAGACATTCATGTAACACATATATGTAAGCGTTCAGAAAACATAAAATAGATTATGCCAATTTGACTTGAAACATAAAGTCCCTTATATGATTACAATAAATCTTGTACATATATACAAATATACATCCAATGTAAAGTATATAAAACATAAAAACTCTAGTGTCGTCAAGCATTTTTGATACAAAAGCCACATCAAATGGCACCAACAAAACATTGTCATCCCCTACATGACCCTTAAATAGCTAGTCTTTCAACCTAATTGTGCCTTATTCCAATAATAATATGATTATTGCGATGTAACAACAAAAAAATAAGGGTCAGTTTGAAATCAATAAACAACATAGTATAGGAGTAATAAACTAATTATATAAACAACTTCAACAACACAACTTAACATCTTAAGCTCAACTAAACAATACATATCAACATATGTATACAACTTTACAACATGGTGGCTTCTCAACTTACAACACAATTTATCAACACAATTCAACATCAACTCAACAACTAAAGAACACCACAATATAACAACACAACTATCACAACATAATAACAATATGTGTTGTCAATTTCAATTAAAAAATCTCTTACATTATAGGTAAGCAGTTTGAGTGGTGTGATGGGTTTGCTAGATCAATAACAAATTTGGATATCAAATACATAGTACAATATGATTTCTTGAATTTCACCATTTAAACTAGTTAAGTTTAGTATCCATCGTCAGGAACAATATAGCTTGGGTATGAGTCTGTCATGACATTGACATGCATTAAACAATTCACCTATAGGTACATCGCACTAACTATCCTTACGATACCACAAACCTTTCTAGTAATTAGTTAAGGAATTTATCCCTTGACTTCACACCTTTCTCAATTTGGCTGCTTCTAAACCAATATGACTTGGCCTGACCCATCATATGGTATCAACTAAGAACTTAGAGGAGACTCAATACTCCACTTCAAGAGACAACTATACTCAAGAAAGGTTTTTCAACAGTTGGACTTTTAAAACACCATAACACATATTTACACATTGAGATATTTCAACCTTTTTAAAAAATAACAACACATTTCCTCTAGTCCTAAGTTTATAACACAACACAACTACATGCCTCAAGCATCTCATCAAGACTACTTCACACAATGACTTGTAATATGCATATCTTAGCATGACAATACTTAATTGCATAATTAAACACAATAACATGCCTCTTACATGTCACAACACAATGCTACATGTTAACATACTTCCATACATTCACAACTCACATACAACAATACACAACTTATATACAGTCAACACACTTAAGCCTAATGCGATAGACCTGCACTCGACACCCACGCTTGACGTTAATGAGGTAGTGAGCCTCTACCTTACCCATGTCCGACGCTACACAACACGCACTTGACATCGTCAAGGCAAAGAGCTGCTAACTTGATCACGTTTGGCATCACACAACTTGTTCTTGACATCACCAATTTAGAAAGCTCCTAAGGAAATCACGCTTGATGCACCTCAATCTATGCCCGATGAAACCAAATCAGAGTGCTCCCATTTGACTCACACCTTGCACTACCTATCCTCGCCCGACGATAGTGAGGCAAAGTCACTAACTTGCATAACTTTTGGCGTCATGAAGTTGCGCTCGATGCGATGACGATTTTTGAACTTGGTAGAATTGCGATTTTGGCTCAACCATCTATAATCTCACTTCCAATTCAAGATGTAACAAGAAATTTAACACATGTACAACCCCTACAACTCAATTTCATCAAGAGATACAACATGTAATCAATACATAAACCAAAATCCCAAAGTAACAAGATAAGTCCCTCCTTAATCAACAACACAACCATAGAAAATATTGATTTCAAGCTAAAATCAACATATACAATACAACAACAACCAATTTACAAGCTTCCCTTACCTCAAATAACTAAGAAAAGAGGAAGAACGAAGATAAATGGCGAAGAATGCTACTTTGAGCTATCACCACACCACGACCTTGACTCTTGAACCTCAGCACTCCAAGCTTCAAATCTCTACTCAAACACACCACAACTACTCTAAGGAAGGATCCAAACGCTTTTATAAGGTCAAAATAAGGAAAGAAAACTCTTTGGTTCCAAATCCTATCTCTCTTAAAAAAACCTTATATATTTTCTCCTAAAATTGGTGAATAATGATATCAACTCACAACAACTCCTGAACAACTAAAACTCATAAAAATTTCTTAATCATTTCCTCAATAAAATTAAATAAACAACAATACAATCCACAATGTTACACACATGTTTATTCCTCTAAATTCATACATAGTACACACCATTTATAAATATTTTCACTATAATATTTTTGCCAATTTAACATGGTCATCTACATTGTCAACAAGTGATCCATATGCCAATAAACCATATATAGTGACAATACTTTTTTGCATTGATGAAATACTCATTTTACTAACCATATAAAGTATCATATTGAAATATTATCATAATTGCTAAAGACTTCTATAATTTGAAATACATGTATTTGTAGTCAGAATTGAGTTTATGTACATGATAGGTTTTTAGACAAGTAGTCACTAAACAATCAACTGTATCTTTTATTTTTACGACATTGATATGTTATTGTTCTTCGTGCTAACAACTTGATTATATATATATATATATATA